GACGACTTCGGACTAGGTGCGTTCTACTTAGTCGCCCTGACAACAAGGTCAACCCACTTGAATACATCGAAAGGAGACTGTGACAATACCAGGAGCCACAACATCTTGTTCTTCATATCTTCCATTTGAATATCAAGGTTTACTTTCAAGATTAAACTCTGCACCAGTTTGGTTAAATTGTCTGGTATGAAAGCCAGGCAAAGTAATATGCAATAAAATGTGAGGAAGCCTTACTATCAGACCTCCATCCTTTTATGCGACCAAGGCTGACCGGAAAACCTTTTCTTGCTGTTGAAGCCAAATAGTCAGTCATATCGTTGCCCATAAAAATTTCATTCAAATACAACTCATTTACTTTTGTATAAGTACATCACAGTGTGATCAGAACAATTTTCATGATGCAGAAATAGTCTGAAATTTGTGTTGGTGTCGACTGACAGAAGCAGCCGCCCACCCGCTGACGAGGAGGATAGGAGGGTGGGTAAACGAAAGATGATGCGAGACGTCACGAGTTGGCCAGCCTCATGGACCATTCTGCCTCAAGCAGCTCCGTCTTGAGGTCAGGCCGGCCGACCTCAGACTCAAGAGGCCAGACGGCCGGAATCGCCGGCCACTTTGTCCATCCACCGACTGTCTGACTGTCTTCATTTTCTCGACTCTCGCCGATGTAGCCCGGTGTGGCAACACGCCCCGGCGCCACCGTTCGGCCAGACTCGACCGAGGAGGCGCTCGACGAAGAGGAGAGCATCATGTCGTTGTCAACCGGACAATTGGTCGTCTCTACGGCGGCGCCTCCCATCAATCCGGTCAGCATGGCCAGAGCCCAGGCGACCAGGTCCGCGGAGGCTGGCCACTCGGACAAGAGACCAGCGAGTGGGAGGCTGGGAGGCGCGTCTTCGGGTCGTGGCGACTCGATTGAACGCCTCTGACATCGACTCGCCGACTGACGGTCGGAGTCATTTCGCCATGACGACTCGGGCGACTCGAGGAGACTGGCCACCGTGAAAGCCTGACTTGGCCCGAGGGGAGTGCTGCTGCGTCGCATGGCAGAGTTTACCTCTTCCTCCGGTTGCCAGGCCGTCTGACGTCGCTGAGCCGGCGTCGGTTCGATGGTACCTCGTCGGGTGGCCTCGTCCAGTGGAATGGCGTCACAGGGCGCCGTGCCCGTCAGTGGTACCGGAGAGAGCGAGTGGGAGAAGCGTGTGACGGGCACAAACTGAGGCGCAACAGGAGGCTGTGTCTGAGGACGGCAATGGAAGGTGATGGGCGAACCCGAAATCTGCCGACTGGGAATACCGACCGGTGGAGTCGTTGAGGCTGGTGATACACCGCTGTCAGAGTCATCGTCGTCCGGACAGGCCAATCCGAGCGCACGACGTACCTTGCGTTGGGCGCGTCGTCGTCGAAAGTCGCCCCGCAAAAAGTCCTCCAAATTGGCTGAATGGATGCCCCAGTAGTGGCCTTTGCCGTTAGCCGAACGTCCTGTTGATCCAACCGATATGTTGCGCAATCGAGCGGTGGACGTATAAAAACAAGCAATTAGGTCGAGCAAGTCAGTATCGCATTTTTCAGTGAAGAAATCACATTTTTGTATATTTTACGAACACCATACTACTGCCAATTTCCTAAGTAGACTGGTCTGAAATTGTTAACCTTTCATCAATCCACTTTATTCATCTCTAAGCAAATATAGCATTAAGACTTCAAAATAATGTCGTTTATAGCTGGCCTATTTCGTCACAGCATATGCTCATAAATCCACTCCCTTTTTTCGTTTTCCGATAAAGCCAATTTAGAACGTTTCTTTCTGAGTGAAATTAATTTATTGGCGGAAACTATGAAGCAGAACTTTACTTCTATTTTACATTCGTAAACAGCTTCTCCTTCTTCAGCCTCCGGCAGCCTACAACATAGGCACTGGTAATGTTGCCACAACTTAGTCGGAGCGTCAGTGAAGGTACCTAGTACAGCGATTTACAACATTGGGCCATGTACTCGATACAGTCCCAGATGTTTCGCCGTCATCGTAATCTGTATCTTCCGAGGCGCCATCGTTAATACAATGTTACTATTTATCAAAGTGGCAAAGCTTGTTAGATGCTGGAAATCGCAAATTTTATGGCAGAGGATAAAAGCATAGAAACGTTCCACAAGGTCTCCCTGACTCTCTATGACCATGTCGCGAAAGAAAGGTCAAACCAACATTGTAGAGCTAAAGGAGACTGCAACCAAACAAAAGGCCACACTATCTTGCTCTTCATATCTACGAACTGCTTAGGTAGATCCTTAATTTGATCATTAAATTTTTCCAAAGATATTCTCATCCAATGATGGAGGCGTTCATTTCATAAGTGCATGATGAAGAGATTTGATCCCACCGTAAGATTGCCGATTTTCTGTTTTGTGGCCATTTGCCTTCAATGACGTAAAGCTTGGCGCAGTCCTTCGTTTCGGGTGAAAACGGGCTGAGCTTTCGTTCGTCATGTGGCGCACATCATCGGAGCTGGAACTCATCATATTCAAGTTGACGCTAAGTGACGAGTTCTATCCTATATGTTATATATAGTAATATAGAAAAATATTTTTATATAGATGGATATATAATGGTTTGGTGAATACTGTTTTACTTGAGTCTGCGAATGTATGTGTGCGTTATAGTCTATAATTAACGTCAGATTAATAAGAAAAAAGCCTAAAGTCAGCCCCGGGTCATCATAGCATAATGGCCTGTCCGAGTTTGCGTAAGTTCGTGAGTAACTCTGGCTGAATTGCTGAGATGTAAGTCTGCATGAGTGTAAGTCAGGTTACGAAGGCGCCCTTCATGAACCTTTAATTTGGGATCTCATGTCTGAGATTGCGTAATCTCGCACGTCCGTTTTTGTTGATGAGCATAACATGCCAGTTGGACGAGTGTGAAATAAGTTAGAACAATCATGATGATGAAATCAATGTACTAATCTATTAACATTAATTACCCATCCTGCCTTCACCAAGCACTTTTATACAGAGTGAAAGTTTCCACCTTATTTAATCTAAGGTGATGAAGGATAATCATCCCATTTTGCAAAGCAATCTTATTCAGGCTGAAGTGGACATCCGTTTTGATCTCGCTTATGTCTCATCAGCACCCCTAGCGGGACTCGAACTCTTGAAACTTTAGCCACGAGTGTTCTTGGGTCACAGGACAGATGTGAATTTCAAGGGATGCCAGGCCTTGGCCTATATCACATTCTGTGATGGGATTTTCGATGACGCAAAGTTGTATTGGACAGCCGTGGACTTATATTCTCGCCTACATCTCCAAAAGGATTCGAAGCCAGGTCGTGAGCATATCGTATTACAATTTAAGTGGAATTTGATTTACAGAAAATCCCACTGCCAAATGTGATTGACTGGCTTTCGTGGAAGTGTGACGTAATGGTAACATGTCGAATCTAAGAAGGCTGCACAGTCAGAGTTTGACTTTTGTTGATGGTGCTGATGAGACACAATCCATTGCAGCTTTAAGGAGAATATCTTTTGGGAAATTTAATGTCATCGTGAGATTTATGCGTGTGATTGTGCGAATTTCCACTATCTGTCCATCACCTTACGCGACCTTGGGTGGCTAAGACTCCGTGTCTGCTGTCGCCAACGCTGTCACCAACGCTGTCGCCACCGGCAAGCTCATTTCTGAAGGTGTCATCACGACCTTGTGTAGCCTTAACGCTCAGCCTCAAGCTCGTCTAGCCAGCCTGCCATTTTAGGCACCAGCAACAGGACCGATCAAGCAGAAGCGTTGTTTACCGCTTTCCCTCTTCGTCC